TTCTCCTCAGGCTACATGCCCTGCCCCCTCTGCTTCCTCAACAGGTTTTAGCATCTTGTCTCTCTGGTTATCTCCCATGAGGTTAATTTTACAACCTTCTCCCTTCATTCACTTGCCGCTCAGAATAAGGTCGAAAGCTGATAAGGCAGAAGGCTTAAAACCCCAAGGGGCTACAGCCCCTTCTCCCCCGCCCCTGCCCGTGTACAAACATATGCTGAGCGAGGACCTGAATGCATGAATGATCGAGTCCCACCAATTCCACCCCATCACTATCTGTGCTAATCCATAATAATTTCTATTTGACTTTGGAATGCGTTATGTAATTTGAAATCTGTAAATTTACCTTCCTAATTATGTTCTTCTTTGGCTAACACAGAAATTACTTTGCACAGATTGAGTGATGGTGGGGGGAAGTTTGCTAGGTGTTGGGATCATTAGGTAGATAATCCATATATTGGCAGTCAAGAGTTGTCTATATCAGGAAGGTCAACTAGACAGATATTTGAGGCCTGGGAAGTGTGTGTGCTTGTGTGCCTGGTGTCCTGCGTCTGCTTTAGCCAATTCATGGAAACTGGGCTTCCTTAAAACCCTATCTACTGGCTCGGTCTTGCCCAAGATTTTCTGACCCACTCTGTCACTGTTTTGAGAGTTACAAGGTAGTCCGTAGCTTCAAAGATGCAACAATGAGATTATAACTGGCCCTGCACAGACGTCAGGACCTCAGTGCCAAGGACTAGGTTTCCAGGTTAGCATACCAGATACTGGGATACTGAGTTATCCGTGTCACCCACTATATAAAAGAATGAATGGATGAAGGATTGGACAGTTGGATGGTTAGATGCACGGATAGGTGGATGCACTCTACACACAGTGGGTTCCCAGTCACAAATCTCGGTTCTACAGGAATAATTGCTATGTATTATTTACTTTTGAGCCATCCATCTGCCTAGATCTCTACCGGTTGGCCGTTCTGTTTGGCTGGGCCTGGGGTTTACTTGGATCTTGGGTAATAGGCTCTTTCCCCTGAAAGGGATCCCAGGTCCCCAAACTGGCTGGAGATTCCTGGCCCTGTGTGCCTGGGCTTGGGATGTCTGTATCCTGGGCTTGTTCCAATGTTTAGACATTTGATGGGGCCTGTCCTGGCCACGTACCTTTAAGCTGGCAGGTCTCATCTTAGCCGCATGGCCGGTGCCCAGTACAAATGAGCCATTGACACTCTCAGCTCACTTACAACCTTCATCCGGACCCATTTGCCTTGACCCAGCCAGGTTGACTTTTGTTCCTAATATCTTCCAGGTGGGGCACCTGGGTGGCTCAGTCAGCTGAGCATCCGACTTCGGCTCAGGTCACGATCTCATGGTTTGTGAGTTTGAGCCCCGAGTCATGCTCTGTGCTGACGAACAGCTCAGAGCCCAGAGCCTGCTTTGGATTCTGTGTCTCCCTCTCTCTCTGTCCCTCCCTGCTCATGCTCTGCCTCTCTCTGTCTCTCAAAAATAAATAAGTGTTAAACATTTTTAAAAAATGTATAAATAATATAGGCTCCAACACCTACACTAACCCCCAGATCAATTCATGATGCCACACCATCGGCTGTGATCTTATGGTTCCCTCCTGAACAATGAGTCGCACTTGACTTCCTCACCCACAGTCGTGTCACTGAGCTCTGCCTTCCCTCCTCAATGAAGGTTCACGCCAATCCCTTTGATGGCATCGCCCTTGGCAGCTACAGGTTAACACTTGGCCAAATCCAGGACCGCAGGTCCCCAGCATCTTATCTCCTTTTCTCTCCTGGGTCCATCTGGCCCCAGGATCTAGAGAAGGATGTCTCTACCAGATCATGTAACAGTAGCCTCCTCTGATCTCTCTGGGCAGCTTTTATTCATCCAACATTTATCAAATACCTACTACGTGGCAGGCAATGTGCCAGACGCTAGGGATTTAATGGTAGCCTAGAGATATAGTCTTTACACTAAAACGCTGCAGAGAGACATTTATGTAAACAGGCAATGCCTTGTGTTAAGAGCCAGACCAGAAGTATGAGTGCTCTGTGAACCATCAGGGCACCCCCCCCCCAACAAAGAACAGTCAGAACCAGAATGGAGGAGAAGAAATGCTGCCAGACGCCAAATGGGTTCCAAAGGGAAACCTCAAGGAATCGCTGACCCCAAGTCCTCTGCCCTGGAAACCAGACCCACTTTTGCCTTTGAGGGGAAGCACTGATGCCCCAGAGGGCTGCCCTCTGCCTTCAGCAACTATGAATGCCATCAGTCGCCTTGATGGCCAGGCTCCGGAGGGCCATCCAGGCACTCTCCATACAGAGGAAGACTTGATCAAACCAGCCCTCTTTTAAGGAGTTGGGCAGTCGCCCTTATCTGTCAGGGATTTGTTCCAAGACCCCCAGCGGATGCCAGAAGCCACGGATAGTACCAGACCCTGTATACAGCATGTCTCTCTTCCTGTGCATACATACCTATGATACAATCTACTTTATAAAATCAGGCACAGTAAGAGATGAACAACAATAACCGATAATACACACAATGATAATGACCTGTCATCAAAGCTACGTGAATGCGGTCTCTCTTTCTCTCAAAATATCTTACTGTACTGAACTCACCCTTGCTCTTGTGATGATGTGAGATGATAAAATGCCTACACGATGAGCCGGAGTAAGGTGACGTAGGCATTGCGACAGCCGCGAGGCTGCTATTGATCTTCTGACCATACTCAGGAGGACCAGCTGTTTCCAAACCACGGCTGACCGCGGGTAACCCCAACCCAGGAGAGTGGAACCGGGGCTAGGCTCCCCAGTGGACATGGTCTTGTCTCTGCCCCAAGGAAGGAATTTGCCAGATTACCGAAAACACGACTGCTGCCAGTCCTGCCCCCAAGATAATGGGGATAAGGGCTTTTGAAGAATGATCTGATCCTAAATAAGAATTAGAAGGACGCTGAACTCTGGTGTCCACGAGGCAGGAAGCCACCAGGAGACGCCTGCAGTATAGGCGTCACGTAGTAAGACAGTATCTTAGAGTCAGGAGCAAAATGAACCTCAAAAAGTAAAGTTTCTTTTTCCCTCTGCCCCCATATATACCTTCTTAGCTAATACAGCATGGCATCTGGAAATCTGAATTCACTAATTCGAACTGGGTGAGGAGAGAAAATCTAAGGGTAAGTGACTCAAGTGATAGAATTTACTTGGAAAGAAATTATTTAATTACCTAGAAAAAAAGTCTAATAGTGAAGGAAGTAGTGCTGGGAAGTGGTGGAGGGTCTACTCAAAGGGACAGGTAAGGCTCAGTGAATAATGGGACGTAATTGTTTTATGCATATGGTGACTGGAGTCCTCAAGAAGGTCTCTTTACTCTTGGTCTCTGTGTCGAGATTTGGGCTTCTCCCACATCATATGCTCTGTCTGCTTTCTTTCTTTTTTCTTTTCAATTTTTTTTAATGTGTATTTATTTTTGAAGGAGAGAGAGACAGGGAGTGAGTGGGGAAGGGACAGAGAGAGAGAGAGAGAGGGAGACACAGAATCTAAAGCAGGCTCTAGGCTCTGAGCTGTCAGCACAGAGCCCAACGCGGGGCTCAAACCCACGAGCTGTGAGATCATGACCTGAGCTGAAGTCGGACACTTAACTAACTGAGAAGGCTTCATGCTGTCCGTGCAGAGCCCAAAGTAGAGCTCAAACTCACGAAACTGAGCCAAAATCAAGAGTCTGGACACTTAACTGACTGAGCCACCCAGATGCCCCTAACCAATTAATTTCTATGTCAAATCCTTTTGTGTTAGTCTTGATATCCCTAGAACCAGAGGCACAAATGGGACTTAGAAGGATTTTGTTAGGGGAAAGGTCTGTGTGAGAAGAAAAATGAGAGAGTCAAGGCAAGGTTAGGAGGACCATCATGAGACTCTTAGTGAGGAGAGGAAGGAAGGTTTTGTGAGAGCATCCTAGATCACCGTGCAGTCTAAGGAAGGTTTGGTGGGCTCCTAGGTGTATTATTACTGCTGTGCTCCCATTGGCTGGGAGCAGAAGACCTGGGGAAGTCAAAGCCAGCACTGAGTCCTCAAGTCACATTATCACGGTTGCCCCACCTCTCTGTATAGTTACAGTGGCTCCAATATCAAGTTCAATCAGTGGAAGTCTGGAATAGGGCTTCCTGCACTGCCTTTGGGTATGGGAGGTAACCAAAGAGATAAAGTTTGCATGCTAAAATATTCCAGTTGCTGAGATATTCCAATGGTTTGTGGAGACCATGGGGTAAATATTTAAAAATCAAAGCAGAGCCTCGCAAGGGTAGCCCTCTTCTGGCAGAAACGCTTGGAACACTTGTTAAAATTTATTTTATTTTGGGGGCGCCTGGGTGGCTCAGTCCAGTTAGGCGTCCAACTTCAGCTCAGGTCATGATCTCCCGGTTCGTGAGTTCGAGCTCCGTGTCAGGCTCTCTGCTGTCAGCCCAGAGCCTGCTTGGGATCCTGTTTCCCTCTCTCTGCCCAACCTCTGCTCGCTCTTGCAAAAATAAACATTAACATTTTTTTTAAGTTTACCTATTTATTTTGATTGAGAGACAGAAAAGCGAGGGCAGAACAAAGAGTGAAGGAGAGAGAGAATCCCAAGCAGGCTCTGCCCTGTCAGCTCGAACTCATGAACTGGGAGATTATGACCTGAGCTGAAACCAAGAGTCCAGCACTCAACCTAAACATTAAAAAAAATTTTTTTTTCTTTTTCTTTACTTCTGCTCAGACCTGTTGAATCAAAACCTTGGGTGTTCAGAACCAGAGGGCTAATAGATGCCATGTTTATCAATACTGCCAAGGTAAAGAGAAGGTTTTTACACCAAACCCCAGTTTTTAAAAAAAAATTTAATGTTTATTTTTGAGATGGAGAGACAGAGCGGGGAAGGGGCAAAGAGAGGGGGGCAAAGGATGGAAAGCAGGCTCTGTGCTGACAGCAGTGAGCCCCATGTGGGGCTCAAACTCTCTGACTCATCACCTGAGCCAAAGCTGATCCCTTAACCGACGGAGCTACCCAGGCGCCCCAACACCAAACCCAAATCAAATGCTAACTTAGTTAAGCGGAATCTGACTATATTTTAATATCACCATCTCCTTACATTTTTCTTACCACTGGTTGCTACAAATTCCTTCCATTTTACAAGCCCGCCTCCAGACAGCTAAAAAATAATAGGACATTCTCAGAAAACTGAGCTTCAGAGAAAGCAGCAAGTACTCAATTGCTTCCCCCTTGTTAATGTGATGATCTGGAATTATGCAGTTGTGGTGCAAACGTGTGCATGCTCAATTCACATGCGCGAACTACTACCAGACTACAAGATAAAAATCAACCCAAATAATTCAAGTAACCTGTGTCTGTCTGGCTTCTCCGCACCCAAATTTCAGGGCTGACGATGTTTGAGATAAAGGGCAGATAATTAAATCACTTGGGAAATGCAGGGGGAGGTTGGCGGGGTCAAGATAGGAAAGCTGGGGTCACCAAGCCAACTCCTGCCGCTAGGATTGTCCACATTTTATCCTTCCACGCCCCCCTGGACTTCATAACCTCCACGTGGCCTCTTTCCTAAAAGGGACTGACCACCCCCATCCCAATCCTTAAATCTCAGCCGGGCTGGAAGGCTAGAAGCACAGTTTGTCCTCTGCCTGCCGCGGGTAACCTTGAATTTAAAGAAACCACCACCACTCGGACGGCCCTGAAATTTGAACCACACGCGCCGCAATATGCAGATTAGAAAGTCGGAACCACTTTCCCATTGGCCGGTTGCTGGTGTGACGTCACAAAGGCCCAGCCCAAACGCGGCCAGAAGTGCTGTCGGAGTGTTTCTTGGACAAGTTGAAGAGCTTTTATTACTTGCATTTCCTTTATTAGGGGGAGGAAAAGTGTTCATGTACAGTCAGAGCTGAAGGGCTCAGGGCCCAGGAGCGTTTTGTTCTGTGTGGCGGCTCTGTCCCTTTACTTAGGGTGTTCGGGACAAAAATGACAGGGAGGTGGGGATGAGGGAGGGGGAAGTTGTGAATTCCAAATGAGCTGTAGGGACCTGACCTCTTCAACTTAGTGGTTTCCGGGCAGCTCCAGGCCGGCCCAAGCTCTGTGACTCAGCTGGTGGAAGTCTTTGGCTGTAATCTGGACCCTAAAGATAAGGGAGGCATACGAGGCTGTGGGGGCGTCCCGACTTTTCCCTGCTTCTCTTTCAGGCTCAAGGCAAAGACAGACTCAAGTCCTCTGATTTGTGAGCTTCTGACAATCGCCCCCCTCAACGTGAGGCCCCCAAATGCAATACCTCCGAAAGGTTGAAGTCTGTTGAACAGAAGAGAGGAAGTGTATAGAGAGATAACAAAGTAACTCCAAGCCTCACTCACCCAGAAAGCTGGTCTTTCCCAAACAATCGCCCTTGGAATGTCTGGCGGCAAGTATGACACTGCCTATTTGGTCTCCTAAAGCTACTGAAAATTTTTGCAATACCTCACAGCAGGGGATCCCCAGTCCCCACATTGGCATGGACAGAGTCACACAGAAGAAACTATTTGTGGGGGGGGGGGGAGGGTGGAAGGGGTGGTATTCTCAGCCTTGTTTGTTTGGTTTGCCCAGATACTGTTTCACTTTTGAAAATACCATCCCTGCTTTTACTTTGGAGAATCAACCTACCTTCATGGTCTTTGTTTGGAAGGAGGGGGATCTTCTGCCCGCGCAGCTTTAGAGGCGAGCACATGTCCCAGGCCTGGCGGATGGCGGCAAGTTCCATTCTCCTGGATACACAGTGACTGGATCAAGTACACGGAGAGTCATGGTCAATCCTGGGACTTTGATGGGAACGCTTTGAGACTAGGTGCTGTCTTCTCTCATTAGGATCTTGAAGCCAATGGTGACCATCTTTGCCCCTACAAAGAAAGAGGCTATTCAACAATGAAGTCAAGACCACCCCCTCCCCACGCCCCGACCCCTTTGCTGAACCAAAAGAGCTGAAAGAGAGAGACAGATTTCTGGCGATGTTGTTCAAGCATTGATCAAGCATATGGATCCAGCCATGCTTGAAACTAGCTACCTGTACTTTTTTTTTTTTAAGTTTATTAATTTGTTTTGAGAGAAGAGAGAGTTTGTGTGCAAGTGGGAGGGGGCATAGAGAGAGGTTAGAGAGAATCCCAAGCTGGCTCGGGGCTGACAGCATTGGGGCTCAATCCCATGAACTACGAGATCACAACCTGAGCCAAAATCAAGAGTTTAAACTGACTGAGCCCCCCAGGCGCCCCTAAGCTGTCTGTACATTTTAGTCAATGGAGCCAATATATTTTCCTTTTTATGTAAGTCAGATTGAGTTGAGTTTCTGTTAACTCAGTAAGAGTCCTCACCTGTACCTCCAACCACCGGGCAAACCTTCATCTCAAGGATGGGTTTACGGCTACACTGGTCCCTTCCCTGTGTCGTTTCTTACCGGTTCTTCTGTTTGATAGGTGGGGGAGGGAGAGGGTTGCTGTGACTAGTGTGATGGCTTATAGGTGACAGATTGGGAAGATTATATTACACCACTATTCTGGTGTAGTTCACAGTACAGAGCTCAAATAAAGAGGATTCAGGTCACATGAAGGTAGGCAACTAATATCTCTTGGACCCTCACTTCTCTCATTTGTAATACGGGGACAACGAAAATCCCTCCCTCGTAAGGTTGTGTGGAGGCTTACGCACAGCATCTGGTGCATAGTAAATGCTCAGTAAGTAACGGCCATAAGCTAATTCTAGACAACCTACTGTAGAAGAGACGGGCTCTCTTCTCCTGACCTCCGGTGCAAAGTGGTCACCGCGGAGAGGGGAGGGCTCAGAAGGCCTTCCCTGCAGTTGTGGCCAGCGACTCAGAGCCACTGTTGACACTGCCAGCCACAAGCACCTGCCGAGCGAGCCGCACACACCTGCCACCTGCCACTCCGAGAAAGGCTTCCAGTCCAGCCAGAGCAGGTGGCCTCAATTCTAGGCCAGAGCCCGGCGGTGTGCGGAGTCTGTGAGCCTGGCCCCTGCTCTGAAACTCCAGCCAGACTATGTGCTTGGCCCGGCCCACCTCCTACCCCCGGATTCCTTCCTTGATCCGACACCTTCCATGTTCTAGGCACCGTGCTAGGAACCACCACGGACGCAGGGGAAGAAACCTGACTTCACAGAGCCCCAGTGCAGGTGTCCTCAGAGCACACGCTTATCTCTCAGCTCACGAATCCTGCCAATTATGTTAAACACACCCGTTTTATGACAGAGGAGTGAACTGAGCAGTACCCACTCTATGCGATAGAACCAAGATACAAATCCTGGTGTTTCTTCTGAGCCGAGTTCTTCTCCTTAGCGGGCTGCCTACTGCAACAGAGATGATCTAGAGAAATGGCGTTATAGTAAAACACGGAGCGCACAATTGTAATCATGGGACTTTAGCCCAGGGAAATAAAAACCCATGTTCATACAAAAATCTGAATGTGAATATTTATAGTGGCTTTTTTTTGATTACCAAAAACTAGAGACAACCTAACTGCCCCTCAATCGGGGGGTGAGTAAAAGCAAAAGAACCCACAAAAAAACAAACAAAACAAAGCAACAACCCCTAAAAAACAGCTGTGGTATACCCATATCACGAAATACTGCACAGCCACAGGAAGAATGCACTTGGATACATAAAACAGCTCAGGGGCATCTCAAGGGCATTAGGCTAAGTGAATGAAAAAAGGCCACTTGCAAAAGTTTGAATGCTGTATGATTTCATTTACATAAAATTTTCAAAATAACAAACGGAGAATAGATTAGTGATTGCCAGGGACTGGGGCGGGTGGGGGGCTTGTTGTGTCTGGGCAGCGGGAGGGAGTCCTTTGGCATTGGACCCGTTCTGAGTCCTGACTGCAACAGTGATCCACAAATCTACACGTGGAAAAACCTCACAGAATTACACACACGCACTCAAGTGAGCAAACCCAAATAGGCTAAATATGAATAATCAGTCAATTAATTATATCAATGCCAGTTTCTGGTTTGGATACTGTGCTAAAATTGTGCAAGATGTTTCCATTGGGGAAAACCGGGTGAAGGGTATATGAGATCGCCTTTTTTTTTTTTAACTTCCTGTGAATCTATAAGTATTAAACATTTTTTAAATTAAAAAAAACATGTATATTAACATCAACTGGAACACTGAAGGGAGAAAATAGGGATGTGTGACAGAAATATACTGTGAGTCACGTATGTAACTGACATTTTTCTTTTTTTTTAAGTTTTTATTTCTTTTGAGAGAGACAGAGACAGCGTGAGCAGGGGAGGGGCAGAGGGAAAGAGAGAGAATCCCAAGGAGGCTCGGTGCTTCCCACACAGAGCCTGACGCAGGGCTCAGACCCATGAAACCGTGAGATCATGACCTGAGCTGAAACCAAGAGTCAGATGCTTAATCAACTGAGCCACCCAGGCGCCCCAGTAACTAAATATTTCCTAATGGCCATATCAAAAAGGTAAAAAGCAACCCATGAAATTAAGTCTAATAAGATTTTTTAAATTTATCCCAATATACCCCAAATATTATCATTTCAACATGTAATCAATATGAAATTAATGAGATAGTGTACATTCTTTTTTTTGGGGGGGGGGCTACATCTTTTGAAATCTGTGTAACTCAGCTCAGCCCAGCCTAATTCAGATATTCAGATGCTAAATTTTCGTTAAATACTTGATCTGTATTTAGATTTCATAAAATTTACTGTTGAAAAATTAGATTCACATACCCAAGTTATTCCACACATGCGTAAAGTCTTCCAATAACTGAATGCAGTATTAGGTGTTTAAAATTTTAATCTAAATTAATTCAAGTTTAAAAACATGAAAAATTCAGCCTCACTACAGTGCTTGGTGGCCACACGTGGCTATCGTATTGAGCAATGCAGGTAGAAAGGGATGCGTGTCCAACAGACAATTCTCCGTAAGACTGCAGAGAAAGTGGTAGCATTTGAGCTAAGCTTCAAAGGACCAGTATGATTTTAATAGAGAGGGGATATAGCAAGCACACAAAAAAATATCATGGATAAAAAGAGGTAGATTCTGCGGTGGCCTGCTCAATATCTAGACCTCCTTTACCTTAGCAACTAAACTTTGACTTTTGCTAGAAGTGGTAATAGACCAGCTGAAAACACTACACTTTCCACCTTCCTTTGTTGCCAAGCCATTTCTGATCAATAGTATGTGGGAAGCAGTTAGGGGAAGCTTCCAGGAAAGCTCCTTAAAAAATGGGGCTCCCTCTTCCAATTTCTGCATGCTTGGAATGATGACTTCATGGCTGGAGTTTGCAGCAGCAATTTTGTGACCTTGATCATGGAAACCATGCATAAAGAATAACAGAGAAACAAACAAAATAAAGACGGGCCACACCATACCAGCCCTGGACTTCTTTTTAAGTGAGAAGAAAATAAACCCCTACTATTATTTCAGTTCTCTATTACCAGCAGGCAAGCACGATTCCTAACCAATATAAGGTGTGAACACGTCAGGAGGAGAGTGAATAGTTGCTCAAGGGGCTTAAAAAGCACAATTTACATAATCATCACTGCAGTAACATTTTGTAGATGGGGAAATTGAGACACAGGGAGGTTAAGCAACTTGATCAAGCTTGCAAAGCTAACAGGTAATGGATCTGGGCGTCAAGTCCAGGCAGTTTGACCAAAGGGCTGCTGTTCTTGAATGGAATTAAAGGAGTTATGGCCGAATACCGTGAAGGAATTTGGACTGCGCTCAGACCCATGAGGCTTGGCCTAGGGAGTCAGATCTTGCCTGCGCTGTCACCCGCGGCCATCTCAGGTCTGCCACGCCATGTCTGGCTTCACCGTGCCATGTTCTTGCATTTGGCTGCCCCCAGACCCAGGCCCATGCTTCTGGGGTATTCCGGCTCCTTCACAGTGTACTGACTGGCCTCCTGGAGGTGACCATTTGGCTACGTCCCATATTCTTTTCACCCTGGTGCTGGGGCCAGCCCTCTGGTCAGCTCCCAAGCTGTCTGAACTAGCAGAGGGATCCCTCATTTCAAAGTCCCCAAATACAGGAACTTTATGTGCTCATCTGTACAATGGGAATACAATACTCACCTCCCTGGGTTCCTGAGAGGGCAGAATCAGGTCATGCCCGTAAGGAACTTAGCGGCCTACCTAGTTCCTGGCAAGGCTCGGTAACCGAGTTACTGGTATCCTGCTGGCCGGATCTCAGCGAACAAGTGGGCTTGTCAGCGCTCTTGCGTCCTGGGTCTTGAACGTGAAGGGTGCGGCATCTTCGAACCTGAACAACCACAAGCTCACGACTCTAAGCCTCAGTCTGGCATGATGGAGAGGATGCAGGTCTTGGATGGTCTGGGGGTGCAGTTCCCACTCAGGGCAGGTACAGCACGTGCTGCGCGGCCTCGTCCGGGTAGCTGTCAGTGACGGGATTGCAGACAAGGACCCAAGGGGGCCGGGCAGGCTGTGTAAGCGGGTGATGCGGGTGGCTGGGCGCTCAAGATGCAGACACGGAGAGAAGGGCAAAAGGGTGGGGGTGGAGTGGGTCCTCTCTTAAATAAGGCCAGCCCTGGCAGCCAGCCGTGTCTCCTGGCATCCTCTTGAAGAGAAGAGAGGTAGAAATAAACACCAGTTAGGCTCTTCCCACATATTAAACTCTGTATGTATTATCGTTCATAGTGTTTTAATGTTTGTCTGTTTGTTTGTTTATTTATTTACTTATTTAGAGGGAGAGACAAAGAGTCCCATGCAGGCTCTGCACTGTCAGCACAGAGCCCGACGTGGGGCTTGAACTCACGAACTGGGAGATCGTGACCTGAGCCGAAGTCGGACACTTAACCAACTGCGCCACCCAGGCGCCCCCAGCTTACATAATTTTTAAAACATGGCTCAAGGAAGGCATTTTAATCACCATTTTATGGAGGAGGAGATTAAGGCCCAGAGAGTGAAGTGAACCTCCCAAAGGTCACACAGCTGGGAGGCAGCAGAGCCAGGATACAAACCCATCCATAGCAGTGTCTTCAGTTCCTTGAGAAATGCCAACTATTCTCAGTCCATCTCGGGGTTCTCCCCTGTGTGCACAGCCCCCCTGCCCGACACCTTCTCCCCAGCCCCTAACCACTCCCCAGGCTGGCTCCTCCTTGTCCTTCAGCCTTCGGGGAGCACTTCCATGAACCCCCGGCTGAACAGGCCACACCTGTCTCAACTGGCTACTCACTGTGTCACAAATCCCAATCACTTATTAACTTTTTGTTTGCCTCCTTAATCTAAACAAGGGCTTTCCTTTCAAGGAGCTCACATTTAAATAGAGAAGAAAGGCACTGAACCCAAGAAACAAATAGTTATCCAGGATGGTGATAAGCGCTTGAGAAGAAAATAAAGCCAGGCAGCAGGGTAAAAAGTGACAGAGAAGGAGGGGCACTTTAGAAGTGGGGGGGGGGAGGGGGGGTCAGGGAAGGCCTCTCTCAGGCTGTGATGTTTCTGACAAGATCTGAGACTCAGAAAGAGAGGGTCACGCAAAAACCCAAGGAAAATGTGCTTCAGGCAGTGGAAACAGCATGTGCAAAGGGCCCGGGGTGGGAATAAGTTTGGTGTATTCAAGAGATGGACAGCAAGCCAAGTGGTTCGAGCTTGATGGTCCAGGGGAGGGATGAGACAAGGCCAGGGCCAGATCCTTAAAGACCTTAAAGGGTGAGATAAGGAGTTGTTTCATTGCTTATGGTTTGTCTCCCGACTAGATTGGAAACTCTATGAGGGTAGAGATTTTGTGTGTCTGTCTCATTCACTGCTGAATCCCTTGGCACATGGCAGGTACTCAGTAAATATTGGCTGAATCAATGAATGAATGTGCTACACTAATGCCTACTATACTCTCAATACATTCCCTGCATGTTTTTGAGCATCTCCCTCTGCCCCCTCCAGCTTTCCTGTCTTCTCTCAGGCGTCCTGTCCACCCCAAGCACTAGCTTTGAGAATACACCTCAACCATGTGATATTAGCTACTCGCAGTCTCAAGGGACCCCCTTCAAGGAGAGCGGCATCTCATAGCACATTTCAGAAAACTCCCCCCAAGTTTTATGATATCCTGTCGTGGGGTCTCCTATGCAT